ACTCTCTTGTATACCTTGAGCATTGACCCCTCTAGCATGTCATCCTTGCTTATTTCAGTGGTTTGGAACCACTTTTCATATTATTTCAGTCCCTGTGCCTGCCTATGTGCTTGCATTTAATCCCCCTTCAATGTGTTTAAAGGTTGTTACCTTATGTCCCTTGTTTAGACCTCGGAGTATGCTTGCACTTTTAAAATACTTAGATGCCATCAAGTGCACCCTTGGCTTTGTTTAAGTCTGCATTTGACTTGTTTTAAGTTCTCTTAGCCTTGTGAGGTTTGGTGGACTTGACCTCGATTTAAGCCTTATTGGCTTGTCTTGAGCACTTAGGCCATTGTGGCATGTTTTGCTTGTCTTGTTTAAATTGATTTGGTATCATCTTATAACATGATTTAGAGCTTAATGCATGCTATATGTCTATGTTTGCATCCTCTTGAGTGCGCTTGAGAATTGCTCTTTAATGCTTGAAGTGTTGGAGATCATTTGTGATGAATGTTTGTGGGCCTATTAGTCCTCATTTTAAGCACCTTGGCCACTGTTTTAGCCTAGTAAGGGCTGCCTAAACCATGCTTAAGTCCATCCTTTGCTTGTTTGCATGCTTGCCTTGCATATTTGCTTGCTACTTGCATAAATGCATTGTATTGCCATGTTGCATCCTTAGCTCGCATGCCTAGGTTGCATTGCATGTGCATGCATTGCCTCACCTCTTGAAGTGAGTCATGATAGAGGTAGAAGCCCCTTGTTTGACTATATGCATTGCATTACATTTGAAATCAACATGCATACATGGTCTCTTGGGTCATCACGCATTGAAATGCGCGAATGATGGTCCGAGAACCAAGGACCATGTCCCTTTGAGTCATAAACATGATAAGGATATGGTTAGTGCATACATTGCTTGGATTGCATTGCATGCAAAGCTCTGTCCTCTGCTGCTGTCAAACAAATTCTGCAGGAACTTTTTGCTGATCGACTGCACATAGTGCCGACCGGCAGTCCATCCGTGGCCGATACTTCATCAACAGCCGATGATCACATCTTATTGCCGGTGGCAATTCTCCTCAGCCGGTGGTGTCTCCAATGTCCAGGGAAGCAATTCTGAGACTTTGGGAGTTTTCAGAGGGCAGAGCAGGGAAAACAGAGGCAGCTTGCGCATGGCAGTGGACTTCCGAGCAAGACCGAGCACGCGTGCATTAAGCCCTTTCCCGAGCCTTTTTTCTTGCTTTCTTAAGTTGATTAATTTGTTTAATTAATTTAGTTGGTCTGTAATAATTAATTAGCTAGGTTAGTTAATTCATTATTCGAATTGTATCATTCTTTTGGTCCCTCCCGAGCGAGGGCGAATTTGTAATAAGTGTGGGTGAGTGTGTGCATGTCTTCCAACCCCCACTTCTTTCTCCCTTTCACTTATCTGCTTTGATGGTTAGTAATAGGTCATGTTTAATTTAACATACCTTATGCTATGCATACGTGCATCATTCATCAGTATTGCATGCCACGAGCTCGGCGCATCATGCTAACTGCATTAGTATTTCAAAATCTAACTTGAATACATGCTACTTGTGCATTTTCACATGTCATTCATAGACTAGCCGAGCCTCTCTAGTGACATTCCGTATGCGTTGCATTAGGCATTTAAACATGGACTTGGATCATGCATTGATTGCTAACAAGTTCTTTGTTTTGGCACGGAGTACGATGTAAGTATTTATGCTTTAGCATCCTCGCATGGTGTGAGTGTTGCCATGATAGCATGATTACCATGAGGCTATCTGCTTATGTGATATAACTGCTTGAATGCCTGTGGGTGAAGGTTGGATTGTCTGAGTTGGGAAACTTATAGAAATCCGTATTTTAGCCTACTTGCGAGTAGCAAATTCTAAAACATTTTTTTCAAAACAAACGGAATATGCAATACTTATTCCCAAATTAGCAATCTGGTCTATACTTTTGTGCGTGTGCATAACATAGTAATTCTAGGCTAATAATCGGGATAAGAACACTATCATAACGTTTTCAAAAACGGATATCATGGTTAGTAGAGGCCGATCTTCGGATTGGGCGAGAGGGGGTGCTCATAGCTGACCTTTCCCAATCGTATTGAGGTAGGTGAGCCGAGGCAACTTTGGTGATGACGGACACGTGGCCTTTGGCACCGAGTCAGGGTTTCCTAAATTCCCCCAAAAATAAAATATTTAGGTGGCGACTCTGTATCTGGCAAAGAAGTCCATGTTTGGCACTTCTTTTCAAAAATCTGTTTCTCAAAACGATTTGCCGGATTTGGACTCTTTGGTTCAGATTAAGAACCGTGACACAAATTGAGTCCGAACTATAACGAGGGCCTCATGCGGGCGCGTCTACACAAACAAAAGCTCACTTAATACTCCGAGCCAAAAAAGATGACAAAGTTAGAAAGATGCATGATCCTAACTATGCAATATGACTAATGCAACACATGCGATATGCAATTACTAGGCTCGGCAACTAATATGGCATATGAAGCAATTTGATAACATGCGGTCTAAGTACGTATTCAATAAAGTATTAACTAACAATGCAAATTAGAAAGTTGCGCCGACCCTTGATGCATGCAAAACAATGGATGCAAGCATAAGTAATGCTAAATGAAACTTGATGCCCTCTACTAACCATCATAAGCAAGTAAATAAAAGAAAGAAAGACATGGGGTTGGAAGACATACACGTTATTACAACACTTGCGTCTTCACGCAGGAGAGTTCGAATAGCTAAGCTAACTAATTAACTAGCAATTACAACAACAAATTAATCAACTATTCTAGCTAATTAACTAATTATTGCAAGACAAAATTGAATAACTAGTTTAGCTAATTACTTATTTACAACACTCTACAAAATTAACTAGTTATAACTAATTAATTAACAAATATCTAAGCTAAGTAATTAGACTAAACAGTCTCGGGAGCAAGGAGTGCTCATGCATCCGCGGATTTCCACCCGAAAAAGACACTGTTCTGCTGCTAGGAAGCCTCTGTTGCACAGTTAAGACATTTGCACTATTCTTCACCTTAAAACCAACTCTATTTCATTTTAAAAAAGCTATTGTTGGATTTTGCAAAGGTGGCCAGTAGGCTAGAAATGGTGTCCTACCGGCCACAAATGATGGCTTGCCATCTCCAAGTAGTAGCATGCCGACCACTACTGCTTGTTCTTTCTGCTGTAATAGAGAGCAAATAGAGCAAGCACAGTGTATTCTCAAAGGTTGTTTGCACAACTTATCCCTCCTTATCATCAATCAGTTCAAAGGAGTAGTAAACTTGATTTACAAACCATCAATTGATGCAATTTCATTGCATGATGACCTATGAACCAAAGGGTGCAAGTTCAATAAATGCAACAAATAAGACTCTCAAACCCCTTTTCTATCATGGATTGATCAAGGGAAGTGGTTGACAATGACTCTTGAACTGTTTTCATCACTAACAAGTATGAAACGATTCAAGACTCAAGGGTTTAATTAACGTCCGATTGAACCCTAGCCAAGTTATTATCTTGCATCATTTTTAGTCTCTAATTTTATTATTCCATTTTAATTACCAACCATTCCATAGTAATTTAAGTCCAAAGATGAATTTTAAGTCCTCTAATGGAATGAAGCATCAAACCAAGAGTTGTTTTAGGCATGAGAGAAGTGTCATGCCGTTGGTAATGAACCCTAAAGGGATTAAACCATTAAGCATAAGACCTCAATCTCAAACTTAAAATAAGCAACTAGTTTAAACCAACTTTCAAAGTAAAGCAAAAGCCAAGAAATGAGGGAGGTTGCAGAGGTGATTAAAGGTAAAAAACAAATATGGAAAACCATAAACAAATGTTATCAACTCAAATAGGATGGTGGCTAAAGCCTAAACCACTAAACCTATGAGGACAATTACACTACAAGCATGCAATACAAAACTCAAATGCAACAAGCAGCTAAAAAAAATCCTAAAACAGTGCTAAATTAGTCATAAAACATGCTGAAATTAAGACAAAAATAGGTAGAACAATAAACTAAAACATGGAGCATATTAGGCTAGTAAGCAAGACATAAGGAGGGGAGGCTAATCCCTCCAATTTTGGACTTCAAAACAACATTTTAGCCACTGAAATAACTCTAAAAATCAGTGTTTAAAAGCTCAAAAAAAAAAATATAGTGTAAAGGTGGGAAACACAAGGGTTAAAGTTAGAGAAGCAAGGTGGAAAGAGAGGTGAACCACCTCTCCACCCTTTAAGGCCTTAAACCACAAATTTCAGCCTAAAATTACAGAGCTTACACAGCCCAAAAAACAGTATAAAAATAGTAAGAAAAAAAAAACAAAATAAGGAAACAAATTAAGCCTTATACCTCTTGAAGATGAGAGCACTTCCAAGCAACAATTCAACACAAACACACCCTCAAGAGCTCAAAGAGCTTAAAAGTACCTCAGTTCAAAGATGGTAAGGTTTGGTTTAGAGTGTATAGGCAAATGTTCAAGAAATTTGGAAGAGAGGGAGAGAGAATTGTAGAGAGAGAGAGAATAATTTGCTCCAAAATTTTCTAACATTGAAAGTAAGAGAGGAAGCCCTATATATATAGAAAACCATCACACTCTCTCAGAAATATCAATACATACACGTGTAAGAAGGTGTATACATCTATACCAACAGCTGGCAGAAAAATATCTGCAAAACACACTTATGGCCGGCAGGCCACTAATGCTGGCCGACAGCCAAAAGTTGTGGCCGGCAGGCCACAAAAGATTGCAGGCTTGAAAAACTCTGGTTTTTGTCCAAAAATAAGGCAACAGGTGTGTAGGGTTTAAAGGCTTAAAGCTGTGGTATTCCGCTAAAGACTCCGAGCACTTAACAAACATATACACTCATCATTAGGTATGCAAGTGGTGACGTCTAAGTCGTAAGGGCAGTCAAAAATGGGGTGTGTTCAGTTTGGTTCGATCATGGAAAATATCACTATGCGCGATTTGTACAGCACTATGATTGTCATAGTATAGAGGAGTGGCAATGGAAGAAGTAACACCCATAAAGTAACCAGCAAAGCCAAAGGAGCTCCTGAGCGGTATCAGCAAAAGCATGATATTCGGATTCGATGCTGGAGCAAGAGACCAAGGTTTGTTTCTTGCTATGCCAACATATAAGAGAATCACCCAAGAAGAAACAGAATCCCGTGGTAGAACGGCAATCAGTCGGTTCATCAGCCCAATCAGCATCTGAATAGGCACGTAATACGAGTGCAAAACTAGAAGGGTAGTAAAGACCATAAAATAAAGTGTCTTTAACATAGCAAATAATGCGAAGCACATCAACATAATGTGTAGATCGATGAGCTGACAAAAATTGGCTGATAAAGTGCACAGCATGTGCAATGTTAGGTCGAGCAACAGTGAAATAAACAAGACTGCCTACTAATTGTCGACACAAGGTGGTAGTAGGAAGAGGTGTGTCGTCCAGGGGTGTTAGGTGTTCATTAGGCTTGAGAGGAGTAGAGACGGTTTTGCTGTCAGTGAGGCCAACCTTTGCTAGAAGGTCAAAAACATATTTAGCTTAAGAGAGATAATAGCCATTGGAGCTAGAGGAGATCTCAAGGCCCAAGAAATAGGTGAAAGTACCCAAATCCTTCATCTCAAATTGTTCACTAAGAGACTTTTTGAGTGCAGAAATTTTGTGAACATCATCACTAGTAAAAATCATATCGTCCACATAAAGAAGAAGAAGAACAATGCCATGTTGAGATTTGCGGATAAAGAGTGCAAAATCATAAGAGCTGGAAGAGAAACCAAGGGCCTGGATGGTAGAACTAAACTTTGAAGACCAATCGCGAGGAGCTTGTTTGAGTCCATAGAGTGTCTTTCAAAGTTTACAGACCTGATTAGATGAGTGAGGATATCTAGGAAGTGGTTGCATATAGACTTCTTCTTGAAGATCACCATTCAAGAATGCACTTTTGACATCCATCTGAAATAATGTCCATTTTTGAATGGCAGTAACAATAATTAAACTTCGAACAAAGGTGAGACGAGCCACAGATGCAAAGGTTTCTTCATAGTTAATTCCATATTCTTGTGTAAAGCCCTTAGCAACCAGACGGGCTTTATAACGTTCGACAATCCCATCAGGTCAGAAGTGTGTTCTTAATCTTGTAGACCTATTTGCAACCACCAAAGGCTTGGTTTAAGAGGAAGGTCAACCAACTTCCAAGTGCAGTTTTGGGTCAAGGCTTGCAACTCTTTCTGCATTGCTTGCTGCCAAGGGGTTAGACTAGGCCTCATAATCAAGCAGTGAGGTTCATGTTGAGAGAAAATAGTAGTAGAATAACAATGATAGTCACGAAGCAAGACAGAAGGTACTTTTGCCCGAGTAGATTGACAAAGAGATGTATTGAAAGCAAGAGGATTCAGTGGGAAGCTCCACAAGATCAGTGGATGTAGGTGACGTAGAGAAGCAGGGAGACTAGGAAATGGAGATGGAGATGTAGGACCGTCAGGAGAGCCAGACTTGTAGAGGGGGTGGACCTTAGTAAGCTCTTAGTAGCAATCTGTATTAAACTCATCATCAAAAAAAAATAG